AGCCCATAGAATGGGATAAAATCTTTACCACCTGCACCTCGGATAGAGCATTAATCTCCAGGATATATAAAGAACTCAATAAACTTAACACCAAAAAATAACTCAATCAATAAATGGGCAAAGGAGCTGAAAAAGCACTTCACAGAAGGAGAAATATTGATAGTTGAAAAATATGAAAAAATGTTCAGCATCCCTAGCAATTAGAGAAATACAAATTAAAACTACACTGAGATCCCATCTCACTCCAGTCAGAACCACAATAATAAAGAATACAAGTATCAATAAATATTGGTGAAGATGTGAGGAGAAAGCTACTCCTATACATTGCTGGTGGCCTGCAAAATGGTGCAAGTATTATGGAAAGCAGTATGGAGATTCTTTAGATAATTTATAAAGGAATCACCATTTGATCCAGTTATCTCACTCCTTGTTCTATATTCAAAGGACTTAAAATCATAATACTACAGCCACATCAATATTTATAGCAGCTCAAGTTACAATAGCCAAGCTATGGAAACAACCTATGTGCTCTTCAACAAATCAATGGATAAAGAAAATGTGGCATAAAATATTGCTCAGCCATAAAGAAGAATGAAATTATGGCATTTCAAAGAAAATTAATGAAACTGGAAACTATCATTAAAGTGAAATAAGCCAATCCCCAAAACCCAAAGGCTGAATGTTCTCTCTGATATGTGGATGCTAACCCAAAACAAGGGAGGGTGCAGAGGGGAAGAATAGAAGTTAATTGGATTAAACAAAGGAGAATAAAGGGAAGGGAGGGGAGAGGGAAATAGGGAGGACAGTAGAATTAATTGGAAATAATTTTCCTATGTTCATATATGAATGCATGACTAGTGTAATTCCACATCCTGTACTACCACAAGAATGGAAGTCATACTCCACATATGTATAATATGTCAAAATACACTCTATTGTTATGCATATCTAAAATGAACAAATTTAAAAATTTGTTGCTTGAAAAAAAACTAAATAAAATATGTATTCAACCCAAATCCCCAGCAATAGATGAATGGATTAAGAAATTGTATATATACCACAATTCATTTACCTTGAGAGCTTCATTGTGTGTGTGTGTGTGTGTGTGTGTGTGTGTATGTCAAGGCCATAATAAAGAATGAAAACATGGCATTTGTCAGTAAATGAATGGAAATGGAGAATATTATGCTAAGTGAACTTTGTCAAACTCAAACACAAAAGATCAAACACAAATTAATAGACAATAGAAATGAAGTCTAGTATGATAGAAAAAGTGAATGAGAAAAGGGAGGTAGGATTGAAAGGAAAGGGGGAGAGGACTGTCTGGAATCATGAATTGAAATTGATTTCCATGCATACATGAATTTATTGAGATTAACTCAACTACAATGTATAATTATAAAGCTCTAGTTTATAAGAAGTAAGAAGTAAGTAAGTACACAAAAGAAAGAAAATGCAGAAAATTTTAGGAAATGGAAATATTAACATTGTTGTTGATGTAAGATTTGAAAAAGGTTTTAAGGGATGTTTACAATGTGGTTGTTGAAAAAGAAGAGTAATGGGAAGTAGTGTGTGGAATATAAATAGATAGTTATTTATCAATTTCTTATCTGTATAAAGAATTAAATCTTAGTATATGTCAAGACTTTCAGTCCTCAAGGACAACAGTTAAAAAGTGACACACACAGGAAAGATTGAATTTTTTGGTACAATGTGAATCCTAATGAAAACAGTTAAGTTTAATGTTTTGTTTGCAGAATAAATTCTTAAGTGACTAATTGAGTGCTCCCTGTACACTGAAGTTTTATTTTCTGTTCATATGTATTTTATTTTATTTCTGTTCAAGTTTAAAAAAGAAACTTCAGCATTTCCTCAAAATATAGCATAATTTTGGGGTTGGGGTTGTGGCTCAGTTGTAGAGCACTTGCCTAGCACATACAAAGCACTGGGTTTGCTCCTCAGCACCACATAAAAATAAATAAATAAGTAAAATAGAGGTATTGTGTCCAACTATAACTAAAAAAAAATTAAAAAGCATCATTTTATAATAATGGGAAAGTGTATACCTTAGGTAAGTATTTATTTTTAACTATTATTCTTTCTTCAAACAAAATCTGATATACATTTCCCTGCTGCACTATATCTAATGCTTCTCCATCAAACCTTCATGCTTTAGTGGACCTTGGGACTCCTCCAAGTTATTGGAATTCTTAGTATCACAGAGTAAAACATCTGGATTGATATCAGTCATAAAGGCATTTATTGATCAGAGTCTTGGTTTACCCTGACTCATACCTGTTAAAACAGAATACTTCTAGCTTTGAAATTATAATGCTATGAAGATAAAAATTGTTCTAAAATATTTTGATTTCTACCTAGTGAATTTCCAAAATGCATGTTGACATTATTTTTGTTTTTCACACCTTATACTTTCTAATTGACAAAAGGTACTGTCTTCCTTTTATTTTTCAGGAGTTCTGGCCAATTAAAACATCTTTGTTCATTTTCTCCTCCAATACTCTCAATATCATTTATCCTGATATTTTTGTAGATAATTCTTAGGAAGTTCTGATTTTTTTTCACAGAGTCTGAAATATGTTCATACATCTCAACAAGTCTAGAAGACAGCATACCCATTTATCCAGGGCAGAGGATAACTGAACATGTATCTTAATAATTGTAACCAGTCTCTCTATCTGTGCTTTCAAAAAAAAAAAAATCTTTCTGGATCCCCCTGCCCCTGCCGTTCTAAAAATACTGTATTTTTCAGTATGTTAGACTTATGTGTGACATTAATTAATAAAAGTGTTCAAAGATATTATTTAACATTACAAAATTTGTGTTTACTTAAGTGTATGTGTGTGCACAAGATTTAGAATCATTTTCTGGCAATTAGCTAGCAACCAGCCAGAAATTGGTCATATTTTAAAAGTTAAAATTTTCCAAATTAAATTCACAAAGACCAATGCTCTTGAGAACTGGACCAGTACTAGCTTATCTGTTATTTTTAAAAGATTGTATCTGGGTTACAATTGATTCTTGTTCGGGCTAAGATGTAAGTTTTTTTTCCAACAATCCATCCAGAAAACTTGCCAGAAAACTCCAAAGGAGACCCTGTTTTTCATACAATGTTTATTTCTTCATGCTAAAAGAGCATGTTGAATTCTGAAAACACAAATTGAGCAACAAATAACTGCAATGCCCTTAATTTTCTCTCATACATTATAAATTAATGACGACATTTAAGTTTTGTGAATCCATTTGTGCTTCTATGACAAAGTATCTGAGACTGTGTAGTTTGTAAACAATAGCAACTTATTTCTCACACCAGTAGTTTTAGTGTCTGGTTAGGACCTAGTTTCAACTTCCAAGATGGCACCTTGTTTATTGCATCCATTGCAGGTGAGTATTACTATGTCCTCACAGAAGGGAAGGAAAAAGTTCACAAATGGTCAAACCCTGTCAATTGTCAATCTTGTTTTATAACAGCTTTAACCCATGTCAGGAGGGAAAGACCTTGTGATCTATATTTCTTTCTTAATACAAATTTATGTTAACATTCAATACTTTCATTTTGGAAGGGACAAATTAAAAAAATAAGAGCTTGAATCTCAGAATTAAATCTTAGCAGCACTTTTATTGTTGTTGTTGTTATTATTATTTTTTTTTTGGAGGATGGAACCCAGGACCTCAAGCATGATGAGTAATAGCTCTATCACTGGTTTATATTTCTTACCCCACTATCTTTTCTTGGGGGGTGGGTACTAGGGATTGAACTCAAGGACACTCGACCACTGAGCCACATCCCCATCACTATTTTGTCTTTTATTTAGAGACAGGGTCTCACTGAGTTGCTTAGTGCCTTGCTTTTGCTGAGGCTGGTTTTAAACTCGAGATGCCCCTATCTCAGGCTTCCAAGTTGTTGGGATTACAGGTGTGTGCCACCATGCCTGGCACCATTATTTTTTTTATCTACAAATTTTGAGCATTACTTGCATTCAAAATTTTAATCAATAAAAATATACTCATAGTTTGTTGACATAACGAAATTGCTCTTCATTCTAAAAATAAATTATTTCTTCTTATACTGATTATTTCACAGTCTAAGAGGACATTCCAGACTATTCCAACTTATTTGAATAAATGTTGCCAGGTTGCCAATAATTATTAATCTCAATTCCTTGTTCTGTTGCTGATTCTGAAGACATGTACTTTAATATCTTTAAGGAATTTTAGGAAATATATCACTTTATTTGACTCTTCATAATATTTAATGATAAATCCATTAAACATACAAAGCACTGCACATTTTTCATTAAGTAAAAATTATAATGTAATTTTCAAAAGTCCTAGTAACTATACAAATTGAAGTTGATAAATATATGAGACTTGTTATTCTTTTAAAGCATAGAATACTTCACAAAGAATGCATACTAAAGCCAGTCTGTGCACATACATGTCTGCAAAATTTGCACTGTGATGAAACGTTTCTTAGGTGAATTGATGCAGCACAGTGATAAATGGTCGCCATGCTTTTGTTCTGAGAATTAGCTTACACTAATAAATTTATAATATATGGGGTGGGGTTGTGGCTCAGTGATAGAGTGCTCACCTAGCACACGAAAGGCCCTGGGTTTGATCCTCAGCACCACATAAAATTAAAGATATTGTGCCAACTACAATTAAAAAAAATTAAAAAACTATAATATATATTGTTAATTTTTAACTACTTAACAGAGTTACTATTTCAGCATGTGGGAATCTGAATAGACCTATTTTAATATATCCACCTTCCCCAAAAAGGCCATTACAGGTACATATTAATAGAATATCATAATTTAATTATGATAATTGCTTAACATGATTATAAGGAAGATATATTACATGTTCAAGAAATACAGGTAACCTGAGACTAGATTTGAGAAAATAATGAGTTATTATAACATGATGTATATGCTTACTGTAATTGTGAAATAATTTTACTTAAAGATTCCAAAGTATCACTTGGAACAAAAAATGTTCCTTCCCATATTGCCTAGTGCCCCCTTGACATCCTTATTCCTCAGGGTGTAGATAAAGGGGTTGATTGTAGGAATCATCACTCCATAGAAGAGAGCCATAAACTTGGGCTGGTCTCTTGAAATGGAAGAGGTGGGCTGAAGGTACATGCTAATGGCTGGACCATAAAATAAGAAAACTACAATGAGATGAGAGGAACATGTTCCAAAGGCCTTTTTCCTCCCCTCAGAAGATTTAATCTTAAGTATGGCATGAGCAATGCTAGCATAGGAGGCAAGAATTAAGCATAGAGGAACAGCTATTATAAAAATGCATGCCACAGAGAGTGCAAGTTCATTAGCCTCCTTTTCCCCACAGGCAGTCTTTATCAGAACTGGAATCTCACACAACAAGTGATCCAGTTTATTGATGCCACACAGTGGCAATTGTAATGTAAGTGTGGCTTCTGAGATAGCATAGGTCAGTCCACATAGCCATGTAATGGATATTAATAAGATGCAGATGCGCTGATTCATGATGAGGGTGTAGTGTAGAGGTCTGCAAATGGCTACATAGCGATCAAAAGACATGATAGCCAAGAGAAGACATTCAGTGGCTCCCATTGTGCTGAATAAATAAAGCTGAAGTGCACACCCCACATAGCTGATGGTCTTCTTAGAGCTTCCTAGGTTAAATAGCATCTGAGGCACAATGCTGGTGGTGTAACACATGTCCAAAAAGGAAAGGTTGGTGAGGAAGAGATACATGGGGCTGTGCAGACGGGCATCTATCTTGCACACCAGAATGATGGTGATGTTTCCCATCATGGCCATGAGGTATGTTATGAGAAGAATAACAAACATTGGAAACTCTAGCCAAGGATGGTCAGCAAAGCCTTGTAGAATAAAATCATCAGGGTGGCTATTGTTAATTAGTGCCATACTTTCCAATTTGTTTTACCTATAATAGGAAAAAAATTTTAAAAAAGGTTTATAAATAATGATAATACATTATTATGCATTGTTTATCCACTGTTGAGAGATGGGATGCAGTAACTTTTGGGGGGAATAATATAAATGATCTTGTATCAAGTGACCCAATTTCCCTTCATAGCACTGTAAGTTAAAATTGGTCACCTTCAATAGGTGAGATCACCATTCTGAAACTGAATTTCCTTCTAAGTATAATATGCCTATCTCCTTAAATTATGAATAGGATTATATGAAAAGTAGAATTGACTGTGATTTTAAAACATAAAAATATTGTTTGTTGAACTCTGACTTTCAGAAGAATAGAGCACAAAGCCAATAATAAGTTGTCACTTGCAGGAAAAAGGATGAAATTGGACAGGAATGTGTTCAGCACAGTAAATCAGATGCAGAAAAACAAGTATGTTTTCTCTCGTATGCAAAAGGTATTGGGAAAGCAAAAAGGGAAAAAGGAGATTTAATGAAAGTAGAAGGGAGAATATTAGGGTATAGAAAAGTTATGGAGATGGAGAAGAGGAAGATAAGGGGAGGTCATAGGGATTGAAATTGGCCAAATTATGGGATATGTATGCACAAATATGCCACAAGGAAGCCTATTATGCTCTATAGTTTATATACTCCAACAAAGAACAAAGAAACAAAATTGAGTAGGCTGTTCCTGTATCTGGGCGTCTGATAGAGTAACTGAGATATGGGCTGAGGATCATGTGGCTCATTTTTAGAAGCACTGCTTTAGAGAAACCCAAAAATATTAAGATTAAAATATTGAGGTAGTGATAGTAGAAGAAAATTAAAGAACTAATGTGGAGCCATAAGAATAATAATCAAGATAACCTTCTCTGGCACCAATTAGTTGGTGAAATAATTATATTATCTCTATGGGGAATAAGAAATATTTGATGTTAAAGAATCTATCTGAGCTATTTTGAATATAGTAAGAAATATTAATACTTTAAACATTATTTTTCTCCATTATAAATGAAGAGAGTAGAGCTATAGTCACATACATTTCTCCATGATTCAGGATTTGTTTTTTTCTGTAATTTCTTTTTCTTTTGTAACTGCTTGGTTAAAACTTTGGGCATTTTGTCTTTCGTGTTAGATTTTAGTTAGTTTAGTCCTATTGTATGGATTTTCCTTTATTGAATGGGATTATTACCTGTTTTTATGTATGTTTTGACCAGTAATCTAAGACCCACTCATTATAAAGTTACAAACACATTTTTGAACTCTAGGTAACTACTCTCAGAATATAAGTCAATTTACAAATGCAGGCCCAGAGACCTATTTAAATTCACATGTTGTTCACATTGTCAGGATATACATATTCTTGTATTTTTCAAAAATATCCACATTCAATGCGAAAGTCAAGTAGCTAAAAAAATGGCATTTTGAGAAGATAAACAATGAATTGAAAATTTTTGTTTATATATTTTCCATTATCTAGGGATGCCTTTGGGTTACATAAAATCCACAATGTCCTGTAAGTTGGGCAACATTCAGGTGGAAGGTTATGGTAGCATTTTCATCACAAAATTCCAAGTTACTTTATAAGTGAAACTAGTGGTTGAAGAAACAAACTACATTTTTATGGTTCAAAGGCACAATTTTGATATTTTGTTTATCATTGAGGCCTCAACATCCTCCTGTGACATGTCACATAAAGCTATTCAGAGCTGAGATGTGAATCTTGCTCTTTGTGTATGATTCTAGACCAGAAGTATATAATAATAATAATAATATTATTATTATTATTATTATTAATAATATGATGATGATTATTCTAACTAATCCTTAAGGATCCCTGTTTGCCAATTAGCCTTTCATCCCTGTTAAATTAATTAGTATCAATTAGTAACCATCTTCATTATCTTTTTTATCATATCAAAACCTTATGATAGGGGAATTTTAGTTACATATATTTTCATATGTTGTTAATCTTTCATTCTAATCTGCTATAAATGATACAGTTGTAAATACCAAAAAATGATAGTTTAAATGAGGTGGCGAAATACTGAGATAATTAGTTTAAAGATTCTATAGAAAGTATCTGTACACTGTCAACATTTATAAACAAATGTGGCCCAGATACTTCATTTAGCTAACATTATTTAAAATGTTATTTTTAGTACCACACATTCAGAAATATAGTATAGCCTATTTTTTAATGATAAACATTCTGTTGTAGATAGATATGAATCAATAATTGCATTCTAAAAATAAATATTTATAAAACTGCAAACTACCCACATTGTTATGTAATTGAAGCATGAGTCATCCTTTGTCTATTCATTTAATACTGTCATATTCACCCTTTAAATTATTTTACCAGGAACCATCCTTCAATAGTTTGAAAAGTAAATTTAGATTTGAAATTTTATGAATTCTTTATAATTTTTTATCTTTAATGAGAGCATTTACTCCAGTATTCTTTGAGTGATTTTATTAAATTTATATTTTTAAAAACCTTTATTCTTATTATTCACATAATTGTAGCTTTGTGGATGGTCATCACTCCTTTCAAAAGACAAAATGGTAGCACATTTGGTCATTGATAAATTTTATTTGGTATTCATGGTAATAGCACTCAGCAGTAGCAGTATCATGACTTTTGTAAGGAAACAAGACTACTGAAAAATAACGAATTAGTTAACATCAGGTTACTAAATGTTTTATTTTGAAAGAGTTAAAACAGAAAGTTTCCTTATTGTGCTGAGTCAGGTAGACAGAAATCTCCCGTTTTATAGAAAATCTGGTCTGTTTAGGATCTATCTGCTTGCTTTAAATCTTCAGTTTGATTACTTGGCATTCAGTATGAGAGACTAATTCAGTTTGTTCTGCTCTGTTGGAGCCTACTTGGGGAGTTCAGTCCAAAACTAGATTTGCCTAGGGACACCACAGCAAGTGTGAATTTATTTGGAAGCATTGGTAATCCACATAATATTAAGCTCTATAATTCTATTCTTAGGACTCTTATTATCTCCTTGTTTTTCTCATATTTTATTACTTTTACTTCTTGGATTCTGTGGCTTTTGAATCTACTACTTACAGTGATGATTTTTAATCACTATTTCACCTCACAAGGGTCTATTTATCCCCAAATCTCAAAGTCACTGTAAAAAAGTGTCAAACTCTATTCCATTGATATCTCCTTAGTATCTCCATTCACATTTCATTGTAGTGTATCCTACTCACACTTCCTTTTCATCACGCACAATATATTTACCACATTCCTTAGCTTTATATAGTAGAAGACCACAAGAAGAAATAAGAGTTATTTTATTTGAATTAAAACGTTTGGTTTGAAATATGAGGACAAGTCAATCTATGAAAAATTTGTATACTAAAAACTTATTTTTTTTATTAGTTGCTCAAAACATTACAACGATCTTGACATATCATACATTTGATTAAAATGGGGTATGAATTCTTATTCTAAAAACTTATTTATACAACATATTCACATGATTGAACAAAATCTTCAAACTCCACTCAGGTATTAAGCATGTCAGAAGTAATATTTATTGAAATTTAAATGTGTTTAATGTTATTTTATGTAAGAGTTTCAAAAAAAGTGAATATATACAAAGAGTAATGTAATTGCTTTGATAGCCACTGGAGTAGGCATTTCTAAATTTTAAAGAAGTCTCCTTGAAACCAAATGAAATATTCTCTGACTTTCATACTCATATTAGGCACTATGCTCTACACACATTCCAACCATCCCTGAGAATATTCACCTAACCCATAAAGGGTATTTTTACTTACCTTATTTTGATAAATATTACTCAGTTAAAAGGATTTTCGTAGGAGTACCTTAAACATTTTCATACTCTAGAGAAGAATAAAATGTAGTACAAAAATGAGTACAAAATTTAAGAATCAACTTCAAAACCCTTAGTTTTTCAGTTGATAAATGATGCCCAAAAGGAAAGACAGACTAGAAAGGTGATAGTAGATAGCACAAAGGATGCTTTGAGTGAATTCTATTTGTACACTCTTACTGAAACCTTTTGGGCATGGGTTTCAAGCAGACCATTTATTTGTCCTTATCCCAGTTGAGTTAGCAGAGTATGTTCCACGGGAAAGAGTTGTTTATGGAAATGCATCTTTTGCACAATTAGTTACCTATTGAATTAAGTTGGAAGTGAGTCTCTTCTGTTTTTAGATGTGTTTTAAAATAACCATATTCAATTTTAAACATTTAGTTCATTTTTATTTATTTAAAACTATTTGTAGATATGTATTTGTTTTTCTATTGATGAATAATAACTGCATCCTTATGGAATACAGTGTGATGTTTTGGTATATTTATACAATTCATGTTGATGATCTGAGAATACTAACTTATACATAATCTCAAACATTTGTCATTTGTTTATGTTGAGTACAAACTTCTAATTGAATTACATAATAAAATATTATTTACTATAGCAAACTTCTATGTAATAAAACACCAAATCTTCTTTATACATGGCTATGACTTTGTAACCATTATGTTGCTTATACATTGTAGATGCTAGTGGATTTTTTAATAAATAGTGTGCAAATATTTATTTCTTATTCTGAGGTTTGTCTGTTTAATTTGCTAATTATAGCCTTTACTATTGTTAACAACTAAAAGCTTTTAGAAAAAAAAAAACTTTTTTTTTTCATGTGTTGCATTCACCTTTATATTCTTGTCTAAAAATTCTTGCCCAGACCAATATCACAGTGTTTCTAGTTTTTCTAGAGTTTGGGGCTTTACATTAAGATCTTTGATTAACTTTGAGTTGATTTTTATATAGGATGAGTGAAAGAAGTCTAGTCTCATTCTACATGCAGATCTCCACTTTCCTCAGCACCATTTATTGAAGAGGATATCCTTGCACAAATGTATATCCTTGGAAAAATCCTTTGGAATTTCTAATTTTTCTATTCTTTTCCATTGGTCTATGTGCTTATTTTTGTGT